TCGCATTGCATACACAACGCTTTACGATCTTTAGAAAACTATAAAATAATTAGATATTAAGATATGAAATTTTACCGAAAACGAAATATTGAGTGTGAAATATTAAAAAATGTTATATACCGGAGTCTAAGAAAACATGATCATAAATTAGGAAGCTATAATTATTTTCCTATAATTTTCTTATTAACTATCAGCTACATGTCGTCTGATTTTTTAAAATTTTAATTTGAAATTCTGAAATATTAAAATAATAATATTTGCAAGAGTTAATAGAAGAATTAATAAATTTTAGATAGATGTTTATTTATTCAATTTTTAATCATTTTCGGCGAAAAAGTTGATATCACAACTTTTTTATGCTAAAAGTGCGATCGTCACTATTTTTACCTTGTTAAGGTGGTGTTTATACCCTTGCAGAGGGTATATTGATTTCAGTCAGAAGTTTGCAACGCAAATATATATGTTCTTGATCAGCATGACTAGACGAGTCGATCTAGCCATGTCCGTCTGTCCGTCCGTTTCTACGCAAACTAGTCTCTCAGTTTTAAAGCTATCGGGCTGAAACTTTCCCAAAAGTCTTATATCTTTTGCAGGTAGTGTATAAGTCGGAACCAGCCGGATCGACAACTATATCTTATAGCTCCCATAAGAATAATCGGACAAAAAAATTAAAAAAAATTATATCTTTGGTGTTTTTTAGCATATAACCTTCTAAGCTTGGAAATAACATTTTTTAATTAGTTTTGAATTTTGAATTAAATTTTATTGAAATCGGACGACTATATCATATAGCTGCCTTAGGAACGATCGGAAAATTGGTAGGAAAATAACATGAAACAAATTATAGCTTTGGTGTTTTTTGACATATTATCTTATACTATTGGGAATATAATTTTTTGTGTTTTTAAATTTAATAATTATAGCTGCAAGGGTATATAAGCTTCGGCTTGCCGAAGCTAACTTTCTTTCTTGTTTTGTTTGATATCAGAACTTTTGAAAGAGACAATTATTATCCTAGTTTTAGTTTTCAGATTAGTATATCTTAAAACCATAACCAGAAGTCGTTCCCATATTACTTAGTTATTAAAAATAATAATAAAATAGTGTGTAAGCACTGTAACGTAATTTTCAGAGGGCTCAGTATGAGGAAGGTGCGATCGTCTATTTTTACCTAAATTTTAGTTTTAAATCAAGATGAGAGATATGAAAAATATAAATAAAATTTGTGTTCTAAGTTTAAGTCGCTATAAGAATTTTTAAACGCTCTCTGAGCCAGAGAAACCTAGGTGGGCTTGGCTTATTTCGATGTGTACTTTTCGCACGTAAAGTTCAAATTGTGGTTACTTTTCAAAACCAATACAGTTTTTTACAATGTTATTTATTATTATTTAAATTCAAAACTATATTTTTTTTTACTTTCGGCGCAAGTTACTAAACCTGAATAGATATTTGCTCTGAATCAACTATCCAGTTTTTGAAAAAATCATTTGTTTAGATCATAAATGTATCATACCAATGACATGTAAAACATGTCTTTGAATAAGGCGAATGGAAGCCGTGACCCTTTAAGTCCTAGCCATTTCTAGTTTTTTCCAAGCTAGCGGGTTTTGCTAAAAGTTATAGAACAAATATGTCACGTTTTTTAAAAATCGAAGACCTTTTTTGATTAACTTTTTTGATTTGCATAAAATTTTTGTAGGTCTGATACTCGAGTATATCACCTTTTTTTGGTTTTTTTTATTGTGTGTAGTATTTTCATTTTAAAGATTTTGAACGTTAATATACAAAAATGTTGAAGTCCTGAAGTCTTGTAAGCCGGTCTGTCTTATATGTATTTATAGCGCAGACACTTTTCATAACAACAAGTTTCTACTTCTTAATGATCAAAGCGTAGTTTCTGAGTTTTTAAGGATTACATTTACCTTGTACCTGTATAATTTTACCTCAGTGTATCGATAAATTTACCGCTTTATTAAACTTAAGCCCTGTAATTTGCAATTATTACCAGAACATTACATCTATTTCCGTTTTTTTGTATCATTAACTTATTAATACCTAAAGAACATGTCTAGTTCTTTTCTTGGAGTTTTAATTTTGTTGACCCTTAGCGCGTTAGTTTCTGGCGATAGTTCTGAATCAGAAACATCCTCAGAAAAAACTGCTGTTCAAGGCTCTAATGAATCTAATCACGATTCAGGTGAATCATCTACCAATACCACTCAGAAGAAGGTAAAATTACGAGGACGCCAGAAGAGTTTCATTCGGAATCCCAACTATTTCAGCGCTAACGAATACTTCAAAAAGATATTTAAAAATGCACATATAAGAAAAAGGTATATGGAACATGTCTTACCACATCCCGGATTTTGAGGTGAGGACAGCACCAAGAAAGATGGCCAGTAGAATCTGAGAAATTTTTTCTGTTAGCATTTTACATTATAGCCCAAATAATGCACCATAATTACTGTGAAATGACCAGTGTAAACAACGCCAGCCCAACAAATTTCCAATGTAAATAAACACAAAGCACAATAAATTGAATTAGCGGCAAATATTATTTCTTTTTTGTGGAAAAAATTATGATTGTCACCTGTTTTGTTGTGGCGTTTGTTTAATAAGTATCACTTAGTTGAAAGCTGCGAATTATTCCCCCTCAGAGCGAGTCCGAGCAGGGAGTTCAATAACAAGGTTAAAACCACCACACAGAAGGCACAGATGAGAAACATCTTTGCGATTTTCGTAAATTTATTTACATCTGATATTAACGTGAAGACGACTTAGCAAAATAATCGTCACAAGAAATTAGCATCCCGTTGTTGATTGACCGCATAGCATAGAAAGAAATTAAATTAAGAAATCAGCTGTATTGCTCTAGACTCTAGGGTCTTCAGTGTGTCATCGCTGAGCACATGTACCTACATTAGGGCGGACTTTTTTGTATGCAATTTTTAAGGTCATACTTTAATTAAATATTTATTTTTGGTATCCTTAATGCATAACAGAAGGAACAAGTTTGAAAAAATTACTTTTAGACTGCGCAATGGCATTGTATGTATGCAACCTATAGATTGCACAGAAAACATACATAAGGCGAATAGGACCCTGAATCTTCGGGGTGATTTGTATAAAACAGACGATGAACTTCGATTGTAAAATATTCCTACCATAGTTTCTTTACACTAAAATGTGTTAATGATACGATCAGGCGACCATCTCCTTTTTGGCCTTTGTCAACGGCATTACACGTAAGAATGAAGCGGACAAGAAGAGTGAGCGTAGGCGACTACTATTTTTACAAGATAAATTAAAATCTGCTATGAAGGTCCGATAATAATAAGGTTTGCACCAATCGATAGATATCGCAAAAACGATTGACTTTGGAAAATAAAATGGCTTAGAAGAAAGAGCGGGGAAAGTAAGAAAGTAAAACTTATGAACACTTGATCTGTTATAGCAACAACGTCCCATCTAAGCATATTTGTAATATTACTAATGATAACTTGTTATTTCAAAAGTAAGATTTTGGTCTGTTGAAAATGTACACTGAATGCTTTGTTTGCTTGCCTGTTTTATGTATACACTCGCGAATTGAAAGTTCTAAATCATTTAAGACTTCGACGTTAAGAAGAGTTCAATCTTGCATCACAAAGGCCTAGGGAGGATGCTTGCGGCAAAGTTGCATCATTATGTCGAAACTAGCGTTTTATTTCGTGACACGGGAGTACAAACCGTTACTGGATGAAAACACAATTAAAGAATCGCAACAGGGATCGCTTACTGGTGCATTTTTACCGCCTAGCAAGACGTCTTGCCACACCACTGGGTCGACGTCGTCTCCGCAGACGACATTCCGCGGACTTATGGATCCTCGGCCGTGATGAGCGGACTTGGGCGACTTTTATAATGTAAATTTAAATAGCCGGATATAGAAACATGCCCCAATGTGGCTTCACCTACACGGTGATTTCGCTATTTTCTGTTACATTAACGTACAACAAGAAAACAAGAACCATTCTTGTAAGGTGTGTTACAAAAGTATGTGCCTACTTAGGCTTTATCAAAAAAAATTTAGTTTCGACGAATTTTGGAAAAACACACTGGCTTAGCGAAAACAAACAAGCTATATTATATAATACATAGGTCAAGCGAAAGCTATTTATAATTTGTTTGAATATTAATTTTTATTGGACATGTCCGAGTTCTCACGGTTATGTGTGTTTTGGCAATCTATTTGCTGTCTACACTTAAATCGAGTGTTTCCATTCCCATTCCTTTCAACATTCGTCTCAATATATCGACTTCTTCAAGAAGTTTACCTCGAAAAATGTTATCTAAGGAATTTTATACCGTTACTTGTAGAGTAAAAGGAAAGTAAGGAAAGTATTTAACAGGTAGAAGGAGGAGTTACCGACCCCAGAAAGAATATATCTTCATGACCAGGATCATTCGCCGAGTCAATTTAGCCATGTCCGTCTGAGTGTTATATTGTGATTATTTTGATACCCTATATTAAATAATACTTTGTCTTCACCGGTCTCCCAAACACAATGTCAGTACCTCTCAATCGGCATAGGTACACAGTTAATTACTTAACTATCTACATTAGCCAATTTTACCAACTAAATTTATTTGTGTATCACTGGTTCATTTGTACTTTCACAGCAGATCTTTTTGGGATGTACTCCAGGTGCAAGTGTATAAAACAGATAAACTGTTTAGAGAAGAACATACTTTAAAAGAAAAAACTAATATTAAAGGCTTGGGAACTTTAACAACATATGCCTACGTCATAAAACAACGATTATTTCGCTTTGGCCAAAGCAAACGTGTCACGTTTTGCGCGTTTGCTTTTGCTCGCAATTACTAATTACCGTCAATTAGTAATTATTGTTTAATCAATACATCACATGATGGTGAGGAAAGGCAACTGCCAAGCCGAACCAGTTAAACCAAAAGTTAGGATAAGAGTTCAGCTGGAAAGAACAGGCGATCAATCAAATTAGCCAAACTAAGCAAAGAGTTGCAAATCAATTGATCATGCGCAGCGTGCCGATATGAAAATTTCCGTGCTCGTTACTGCCTCACAAAGCCGACGACATCCGAGCTCCGTGAAATGACGATCTCGGAGTCCGCGAATCGGCCCAATCGAGTATCTCAATCCGGATCAAGCGGCGCGCGCGACTTCAGTTTCAAAAACGGCTTACATTTTGCAACAAGCGCTAAATTGGTTGGGCAAACAGCACGGGCTTTATTCGCAGGTTCCCCAGTTCGCAGCTCCTAGTAGCTCTCAGTTCTTTTGATACATTGTTTATTAGCATACGTATTTGCTTAATATATATACCACATCTGGCTGTCGGTTGGCGACATGTATGTATGAGTGTGTGTCGAAACTACTAGAGTTTTTGGCACTTTAAGTGAAGTGTGAAGAGAGCGTCGGATCCGCCATGAGTTCAGTATCCGTTTAATGTTCACAGCGATAAGTAACTAAATCCCCAGATATCGGTATCCAGTGTAAATATCCTGAGAGAACTATGATTACCAGAATAGCAAATCCTCTGTAACTGGACATTATTTCAAATAGGTGAGTCCGGCACTGCCAAAAAACCAAGATAAATTTTTCCATTAGTTTTTAATCAAAATTAGCACAATTAATAAATAATTTATGCCGCGTGTGTGCTGTAAATTTATAAGAATTCCCTAAACGTGATAAGCTCATGAAGGTTACAAATTTACAATATTTTATTGTCTTGCTAAAGAAGACAATTTATTGAACTAGCCAAGGATTTTTTTAATTTTAGGTCCTATACAAGGTGTTTAAGGTGTTTTCAGTTTTTTTTTTTAATGTTTTATATAATTAAACTGTTGATCAAAACATTATTTAAGTAAAAGAAAATTTTAAAAACTCCAGAAGAAGTAGTCGTTCTTTACAAGTTATACATTTCTTAAATATATAACTTTTTTATAATTAAAAGTTTATTAATAAAGTTGGCTATAAATAAATGGGACTAACTCTCTAGTAAATGTGTTTCTTAAACAATTAAGTGCGCCGCAATGCAAACAGTCGTAAACGAAGCGTAGGCGTCTTAGAAATCGATTTTATTTTTGCTACTGTCGCCATAAACTTTTGATTTTACACTGTTTAAATATATAAGGGCTCGTGTAATTATATATCTGAAATGGATGTGGGAAATTATATAGTTCATATGAAGCATTCGATGATCGGCGACGTCGTCCGACCTGGAAATTTTATAAATTATGCATAATGCAACTTTAAGTGAGAATCTCTCGATTAGTTGTTGCTCAAACTTGCGGCCGACCACACAAAACGTGTTTCAATTCATGGGGTCAGTGGACTACCGAGGGGAAAAATCGGATTAAAGTAATGAGTTAGTCAGAACAATGGGCAACCTTTTACCAGGAAATTATACAATTGGCTGAGAGTATTGGCTCTTATAAAGGTAATTCACCGTGCGGTAATATCAACCATTTATAGATTGTACGATCAGAACTGTCTAAAATTATAACCATATTATTGGTAGTAACGGAATTTTCCCAAAGTATTCTAAATGACATGTACCTTAATTACATCCAAGTCAGTCATGAGTGCGTTTGTATTACAAATGTTTACAAGTGGCAATAACCCATAACGTCACTGGAATTATGATTTTTTCCCTCCAGACCTTGAGTCAGCTAGTCCCATTGAATTGCAAACACACTTGCGCTGTCTATGAAATGTATTCCAATTTAATTGATGCCAAGTTGTTCTGTACACAGTAAATTAAATTTCAGTTCAATTACTATGGGTTTAGGCGATCATGTCGTATATGAAAAGTACCCATAAGTATGTGAGATGCAAATAGAGAAAATGTGGCATTAATGAGGTTCTTTTCTATGCAAATAGGATAGTTCTAACTAGTTGCATGCCTTCGTGAGAAATCTTTGTGGGCAGAGGTGGCAGGGGCAACTATATATTATGACTACCAGAGTACTGCCGCATTTATTATGGGATTTTATTTTGTCTGCCATATAATGAAAAACGGATTTACCTTGCTTACACTCAGTCACGTGAATAAATAAGGTACACTTTTACTTGTGTAATTAATATTTACCTCTATAAGTAGCCGTATCTGATCAGCTTACATCTTGATAACCCCGGCCATTCCGACTTCTCTTTCGGCCACCTGCGTTAAAAACCACGCGATAAAAACAAAAATAAATAAGGCAACGATTAAGCAAATAGTATGTCAAATAAATTGAAAGAAATGAAAGCAGCGGCAAGGGATATTGCCAAACAGAAGCTAAAGAAACACTTAAACAAATAGGCTAGAAGGCGCATGCGAAAGCAACATGAATTGCTGGGTGACGCGCAGAATGAGTATTTCTTGGCTGTCATGCCTTGCTTTTTGGCAAGTGTACAATTGTACATAGATTTTCTTGGCAGCACGAGAGTGATATTATGCGAATATATCACATCAATGAGTGTAGTGAACTCGTTCTCGCGCCTCTCTACGCCCGTAAACTTGAACTTGACTTTGCTGAGAGCCAGGAAATGTATCTCACAGATGGGGACAAGTGCAGTCGCCAGAGAACCGAACACGAGTACTACGAGTTGGACACCACACCGACTATTAATAGATACCCTCGCGCGTTCCTCTTCTTCCTGTTTGAGCGGAAATCGAGTCAACCCACCAGATTCTTCGCTACGAATTCTTTTGTAGTTCCAACTCGGCCCTTGCCACCTACACATTCTGCAAACTGCGAGTGCTTTCTCAGCTGATTGGATCGGATCGGATCAGTTCGTCCGGTTGCGACCCGCTCGGATATCCAAAATCCATTAATAACCAGCCCTGGGATAATTGCAATTTTCAATTGTTTGCCCGCCAAACAAATCGAGCGTTCCACCGATTTGATTTATCGACAGACTGTGTGTGTGTTCGCGGGTGTCGTGATTATATAAATTTAAATTGCACAACTAAATTGGTGAAGCAAAGCAGCATGAGATCGCAGGCTGTCTAGTTCCTTAGTCAAAATGAGCTTCATTCATCCCGATGCTAGTTTGATGGGCTCCAACGGTAGTGACCCGGGTTCCATGGAGGAATTGGGATCGAAATCGGAGGAGGGCAAGAGTTCCCTGAACGATCGAGTGGAGATCAAAATCGTGATGATCAAGGTTCAGGTGATTTACATATACGGTATTTGCCTAAGAACTTTAAGTACACAACAAATAGTACATTGCTTAAACAATTTAAAACTATGTTTATTCAGGCTGGAAAACTAACAACATTTAATTTTCAACTGAAGGGTTATATAAAATATCTTTAATTTTTTTAACATTTGAAACATTGAAATGTTTCTTAATACTTTTTTAAAGTTACTAAGCAAGTTACTGTTCGACGACTTTTATAAAAGCAAGTTATGTAGTTTACGTAAAATTTGTATTGATGCTCATAAGAAACTCGCCCAAATTCAGAATAAGCGATTTTTATCATACAAGATATGATCTGATAGATATTCAAAGCTTCACTTAGTACATGTGAAATAAGCTTGAGCTCTCAAGTTTATTTAAACTTCTGTCTGCCCCAAACTCAATTAATTTTTGCGAACATCTTCCATAAAATGTTTACATGGGTAAAGCCAAAACTTTTCGAATTGTCTTTGTTTGGTGTGCCACACGGCGGATACGCAATAAACGTAGCAGCCCCATGAGCCACAGCCAGAACTTTCTGCCTAATTTGTTTGTTGCGCGTGCCAATCGCGGGTCTCCGTTAAAATGAAGATACACGCGTGCAGCCTGCGCCCGCCCCTGAAAAAATCCCCTTCCCAGCACCCTATTGTTTATGCAAAATTTATTAGCGCACTCCCTCGAACAATGACAGCCGTCGAAAGGCGGTGCCGAGGGGTGAGCTGTCGAATTGGATTTGCAAACAAACAAACAACTCGGGGGCTCACAAGTGCATGACACTACCTATTGCCGCTATCGGTCATAATTAGAACAGTAGCGGTACAATGGAGCCCCGCTACAAGCCATACTTCACGCTTTGTTCTACGAGCTGTAAGCCATTTAACGGCTCGGGGTTAAGGCAACAAAAGGAAACTAATGGAAGCATCTACAGAGTTGAAAAAATTAACACTCTATTTATTATATGGTTAAGCATTTATTGTTTTGAGCGTACTTTTTGTCCAAAGACCCCTTTTTGATCCGTGTTTTCCGTCCTAAGTTGTAATCCTTGCAGTTGACCTATCTTAATACATACTTTAACTTGCAAGTAGACCATATGTAACGGTCTGGATAGTAGCTTTTGAGGTAATAATATAACTTAGTTGTTAATAAAGACTAGACAAATAAGCCGATCAGGTATCATGTTGTGGCCTATTGTGTTTTCCCCACTTAACAAGTTTAATATGTCTTACCTACCATTTTAATGGGGACAGGGGAGATAGTACAGGCACGCAATGACACGTGCGTCAGCTGTGAGGCTCCAGCTGGGCTGATCCCCATAGAGACAGAACCACAAAATTACCAATTAATCGAGTCAATTGGTGGAAAATATATATTTAATTTGCCGGAGTTTATTGCCTCCCAATTGCGGCCAACTGAAATATGTGATAATATAATAAGCGCATTACGAATCGCCTGAAGGAAGGTCCTGGCCAGGACTCCTCCGGCGATAGCTTTCAGCCTTGAGATGGGAGTAATTCGCACCGGAGTTGAGCAACAGCTGCTCGACTATATGTGCTCTTATCTCCCAGAGCTTTGCCTTTAGTTTAGCCCGGATTTAGTTGGTCGTTTGGTTGGGGACAGAGAAAGTGAAATTTTAGAGCACGTGACCGGCCCCATTGAAGTCCCGCCGGGAATGAGCTCTTCCTGAAGTTCCTTCGACAACGGGGAAAGCTCCGGCTTTCGTTTTCACTTTCACTTCGTGGCAAGGAAAAGCGAAGTTCGGCTGGAGAAGCTTTTCACCGCTTTTCCCTGCTTTCCGTCGCTTTTCGCCAAATCAGTTGCGCGTTGGGCGCACGCCAGCACCAATCGAGTCACTTCATAGCGCGGACGTAGCCGTGTTTCCAGTATTTGAACAGATATTATTCGCCTATTTTAGTTACCCGAGCGATTAAAATGTTGCTTTTCAGTTTCTGTCTTGACTGTTTTGAAGAGAATAATGTAACTATTTTAGATATCTTGATTGTGACTAAACAAACTAAAAAAACTATGAGACCATTTGATGATCTAAATAAATGAAGTGTCAATTTTGTAAAAATTAGTTTTCAATTATACCGATTTACATTTCCACAAACATTCAAGTTGGGTATCTTTGTTTTTAACGTTTTTACCTATCCCATATAACCATTGGCAGTTGCAGTTCTTTAATAAACTTGTTGGCAAATCGTAGAACTTGAAAAGAAAACGAATTTAAAGTGCGTCTCTGGGAGTTTGTACAATGTAGTGCGTGATACACAAGTTCTGGTTAAATGATCTGACAGTCGGAAACCATTGGCGAGCGAGTCCTCGCACTTTCACCGGTTTCGGACGCACTATGCTCACGGACATTGGCAGCATTGCAAGCGGGAACAATAACGGTATCGGCAACGGCAACAGCGGCCACATTGGCAGTGGTCATGGCCTAGTCAGTGGACTCCACTCGAGCGACTCCTCCAGCGGAATCGGCAGTGCGAGCAGTGAAAAGTTGGCCGCGCGCGGCGATGAGGCCAGTGCCAAAAAGGGCAGCAATGGAGAAGGGGATGCCGACGAGGATGACGACGAAGACGACGAGGACGATGATGAGGACCAAACTACGGTATATACCCCTACTTGGTCGAGGGATTCCTCGGGCGAATTAGCAGCATATGCATGCGTAATTTTATGCTCCGAGATAATTATTAACCCTCGCCGCAATCAGAAAGCCAAGAGCAAATTATGCGTGTGACAGCGATAAGCTGGGCATCATTTGAAGGGGCTTAAGTTGGGTAGGTCGCTGTGGAGGACACCAAAAAGGACATATCAATTTAGATGGGTACCACACATAAGAAAGTTGTGTTCCTTAGTTTTTTGAAACAAGCTATAATGGAAGTTTATGGAATTTAAACCACTACTGCTATCTATGTCATTTCATTATATGGATACTTAAATAATAACGAATAGAAAAGTAATCGATTGGACAAAACAGACTAAATGGGGAATTCTAAAATATATATACATGTATATTCGCTAATAAACCTTTGTTTATATGACCAAGGCATATTACTTACATTTTCCTTTCTTAAACGCTTTAAAATATAATTTGGCAAAGATCAATCGTAACTGGAGAACCATAATTTTCCATATCTAATAGTGCTGAGGTCATACTCTGTCATAAACTGTTTGATCGAAATGGATGACACACCCTAGCCGTTGGGTTGAATAATATATGACTGTATGCGGAATCCCCGGTCGAAAGTTTGAGCCACACGAAGTTTTGAATGGGCCTTAGGCCCCACACAAGCGTCTGATCTCTGACATCCTGCCGTATTCCCGGCCTCAAATAGCTTCTCAAATCCATTCAATTATTTAAACAATCATTCACAGATGCGAGTGAGCACCCGAGGGAACTTTCGCTGGCGCATTCTTTTGGGTGTGAATAAGTAAGACAGGAAATGAGATACAAATAAAGGAAAAATTCCTGCAAACGCACCAAATAAATGGGGCAAATGACCATTTTAGATTTCCTTTTTTTTTGTTCTGTCCTGGCGAATCAGATATCGTTGGGCTGCCATCTGCGGATATTTCACATTTGTGTGGCAGCCCTCCCCCAACGATTTTTGGGGCAGTTTAATTAAAATCAGCCATGGGTGACGTCAGAAAGGCTGCCTTAATTAAGTCAAGTTTTGAAACTAAACACGTTTTCCGTTCAGTTCAGTTCTTTTCCACTGCGTTCAGGTAGATTGTGGGCCTCCAGGTGGCTTTGCCAGGTTACTCCACTCATTAGTCAGTCTGCCACACGTGCTTGGGAAGTCGTGCGTACTGACTTGAGAAAATAAGAAGGTGGATTCGCGCTGTTTAGCATGCGAATGCGATAAACGTCAAAGTCAGAGCCGTGTAGGCCATATTCCTCCAGATTATGTAAATCTTGTATTTTTATATTATTTTTTGCAGAGCCTTATGCAAATTAGTCAATACAGGACCTGGCTCGTGTGAAAAAACAGCGAATACTAACAAAATGCTGTCGAGAGATAACATTATAAATTTATAAATTGCAATAAATAATACAAATTTGTTTCGCCCAGGGAGGGGCAATTTCCTTTAAATGAAGGGTTGCAACTCATATTTGAGGTTATGTAGTATTTATTTACCATTAGAAGCTGAATATCTTGCCCAACGGGATAAATCAGTGAGGATGTTTGGACCTGATTACTATGATCTCTGTAAGATGGTTTAGCTCCCTGCAATCGGTCGAACAAAAAAAGGTATTCGTCTAGAACCTTTTAAATTAACTCGACTCCAATTCGCCCCAGGTAATTCCACCAGACAGACACGCGAATTACCCCCTCCGCCTCGAGCAACCAGCGAATGTTTCCAATTCACTTTGTTTAGAGCCCGAATTTTAAGGCGCATGTCTCAATTGGAAGCATTTTCTCGTCGCAGCCAGCGACCAAA